AGACAGGCTTTTAGCTATGAGTCTACTATCCCATTAAATGTGCGTGAAATGAAAATGCAAGAAAAGAGAAGAAACGTCGAGGACAGAGAGGAAACCAGAGAGTCGACGTCCGATAGCACTCCAAAGAGGTCTGAAGGTCTTCGTCCCATGGTGATAGCTCTAACGAGCACTTATAAGTCTGTTCTGAGACAGATTTGAGTGAGATTGAGAGAGGCAGCGTAAGTAAGGGCTTCCCTAATCACTAGAGCCTCTGCCATGAGCACCGAGGAGAAGTGCGTCTGAGCTCTTATCCTCTAGCAAGCTCTTACCAAGGTGCTTCAAGAGGAGGTCATTTCCCCATAGTACGCCTCTCCAACTATGTGAGATAACTGAGTTTGGATCAACTTTAGAGAAAGGCACCTTGTAGCAGTACTTGCTCGTGAGGATTCTTGCCAGCAAGCTATTTGTTTTGGTGAGGATATGCCAAGCAATTTTTTGCTAGCAACACCTGATTGAAGTCTTGGACATCACAGAAACCCAGACCTCCCAAGCTCTTAGGCTGCGTTAGCGAGTCCCAAGACTTGCAACATATTTTCCTTGATGTGAATATGTCTACAGTTACCAACTGAGAGAGCTTATTATATTTGTCTACTTATACCCAATATACATATATATATATATATATAGATCCCACGCACATAGACAAGGGTTAGACTTTGTAAAATGTAAGAATTATGTCAAAAACCATAAAACATATAAAATTGGATTATCTTTGTAGAAGAGTTGTTCTCTCGTAGATTGTAATATTTTTGTTACAAAAAAAGATATAATAAATATTAACCGATCAAAAATACAAATATAAATATGAAGCTCTTGAGTGAAAAAAAAAACTAATTTTCTCTTTCATTTGCAAGTATCGAACATCTAACTAAAGTTTATGCAGAATCTCCTTATAGAATTATGATAAGTGTGAGGATTGGCAATGTATTTGCCCATTCTTTTTTGGCTCACACATTATTTTGTAAGGTGTGTAACAATTTGCTGGAGTCGCTTTTTCTGATCGATGCGTACATTTATTTATGATACAATTTTCATACATGCCTTTATTTTGATGGAACCAATACTTATGCTAAAAACAAAATTGTAAGTAAATTTACAATAGTGAAAGCACTGTAAATTTTCTCGATTCAGCCAACTAAAAGATCAAGAGCCAAACCCATAGGAAGAAACTGAATTACTTAGCAATTCTCGTGCGAGCAAAGGAGAGGGAAACCAAAGATAAGGAACCGGCTGAGTGGTTTAATCACTTCGTGGTTAAATCCAACATATTTTCTTGTTTTGGCATCTACGAAAATGCACTGTATATGAATAAATGATAAAATTTATAGAAATGAGTAAGGCAACCTACAGGAAGGAATATGGTAAGAGGCTTAGAAACAAGAGAGATATATCAGAGAAACCTAAAGAAATTTTGAATCTCCCCAATTTTTGCAAGAACGCGCGCATAGTCGTACAAGGGCTTAAATTTTTTTATACGACAAGGATAGTCTGCACAAAATAGGAAGACAAGTTATCCCAAAGATGATGCACACGATGCTTTTCTAACTCTTCCCGCTAATTAAGGACTTTGGCTTTCTTCAAACTGAAAGCCAGAAAAAGTGATGTGAATATGTTTATTGTTACCAAATGAAAAAGATTATTATATATGTCGACTTTATCCAATATGTATATCTCACACATATGGACATGGGTTACAGTTTGTAAAATTTAACAATTATGTCAAAAACTATAAAACATATAGATTTGGATTATCTTTGTAGAGTTATTCTCTCGTATATTGTAATATTTTTGTTATAAAAAAAAAGAGATACAATCAATATTAACGGATAAAAACACACAAATATAGATATGAAACCAAAGCAGTGAAAAAAAAAACTATTTTTCGCTTTCATTTGCACATATTCATCACCCAACCAAAGTTTCTGCAGAATCTCGTTACGGGATTATGATAAACTTGAGAAGTTGCAATGTGATGCTCATTCTTTTTTGGATGACACATTATTTTGCAAGGTGTGTGACATTTTTCTTGAGTCGCTTTTTTTGCTTCCTGCATGCATTTATTTATGATACAGTTTTTCATACATTCCTTTATCTTGTTGGAATGAGATACTTGTGCTGAAAAGAGAATTGTAAATAAATTTACAATAATGAAAGCACTGTAAATTTTCTTTGAAACTTGAACTGCCATAATGTAAATACTATAAAACGCAAATTTTGAACTCCAAGTTTTTTTGTTTATTGTAGTGTGAGACAAGAAGATTTTATGAATATGTTGGGTTGATTATGATGACTTTTATAGTACAAGTACTTTTACCTGTTTTTAGAAATTTGTTAGAAACTCACGTTGCTAATTTCTTAATTAAGTAAATATATCAATTAATTTTTGTAAACATAGATGTATTATGTGTTTTAGTTATCAAACTATTTATTGAATCAACTAAGTTTGCATACTGTCAATCTTTGCTTACACCACCACAGATATTGGATTCACATTTTGTTTTTACAATTTATAGCTATATCTTGTTTTGAGAATCTATTTTTAAACACAATATTCACCATGCTGTAAGTATTTATTTCTATTACAGTAATATATTTATTATGACAATACATGATAAACATGTGAATGCTAAAAGAAATTATAACATAACAGAACATTAAAAATCATGCTATTAACTGCATAATTATTAAAAGGACTAGGTGATTTTCCCGTGCTCATGCACGGGTATGAATATTTATCAAGTAAATGTATATATATATATATATTGTAATACATTCTAATTTTTTAATTTACATAGATATTTAATTTTAATTATAAATTAGTTTAAAATTTATATGTATAACTTATAGTAATAGTATTATATTATTTTAATTATACATACGAGTTAGGAGATTTTATATTTAATCGGTTTGATTGTTTTTTTTTTGTCAATAGTTTATTTGGTTACACTTGTGTATTTTAGATTGCATCTATTTTTCATTGTATTTAGATGGGTTATCGTCTTATATATGTAAATATAATTTAGTAAGATTACATATAACTTATTATATATTATGCTTATAAGGAAATTAAAAATAAACTGAAATTTTGACTCAATATTACATATAAATGAATATAACGATAATATTCTGAAGTCTCCTGCATATATATAAATTTTACAAAAAACTTAATTATTACAGTTGATTAATAATTTATTTTTCTATATTGATATTTTTGAGTCATCATGTAGTCTATATCTATAATTATTCTAAATCTATATGTTCTTGTTGTAGTTAGATCTTTTATTTTTGATATAAGTTAGTTTTGTTCCGTTATTCGTTTTGTGAGTCTATTGAGTTATATATATTTTTTCTAATTCAAATGAAAATATAATTATTTTTTATTCTGATTAATGCAAGTTTTTATAATATTTTAATAATTGGATATATGTTGATTTTTAAGAAATTTAAAAAATAACGTGACGATCAATTAGAATTTACATACAAAAATATGAGTATAAAGATAAACTTTTGAAATTTCATGAGCACATATTAATATTTAAAATAATCAAATCTTTATAAGTTAGAAATTATTTTATGCCTTAGATTTCTTGAAAGGTAAACTGATACGTATTTTACACAATCTTAAAAATGAGAACTTAGATTTACTTTAATATTTTTATTATTTATATATTAAGTTCCATAAAAATAAAAAACATAAAATTCAAAATCAAACTAAATGTTAAAAAGAATTTAGGAACTTAATAAAATAATAATGATAATATATAATATTTCCATTTCATTAATAGTGTATAGTGCTATGCTATTTAAAAGGATTTTGAAATTATTTGATCAAAATATTTATTTTTGTAGAAAAATATTTTTAGTTTCCTTTTAATATCTCTTAAATAAACACTAAAAATCTTATTTTAGGAAAATTTCAAAAAAATAAATTTCGTTTATATACAGTATAAAGATATATGTTTCTTAAATATTTCCTTTTTTATTTATGTGTTTTTTTTTTGACATCGAAAAAAAAAACACACACACACATAAATAAAAAAGGAAATATTTAAGAAACATAAATTTTTTATACTGTATATAAACGAAATTTATTTTTTTGAAATTTTCCTAAAATAACATTTTTAGTGTTTATTTAAGAGATGTTAAAAAGGAAACTAAAAATATTTTTCTACAAAAATAAATATTTGGATCAAATAATTTCAAAACTAAAAATAAATATTATGTGTGTTTAAAAAAGTAAAATTAAATTAAAAAAATAAGTAAAATCTTATTATGAAAAAAGGAAATATATTATTAATATCAATCTTATTTAATATGATTAGTTCATTAAGGGTATCTATGTAATCAACAATCGTGGAAGTTAACGTGAGCATGACACATAGTAAACTGACTTCTCAAATAATATTATAGAGATATAAAAGAGTTAGAACTATTTGTTGGTACGTGGTAGATGATAGGTTTTATAATAAAACAAGAGAAATTATTTTTTTTTGTGGCTGTTATAGCGGGACATTTTGTGTAAACGTCAACAAAGCATACGCCACCATGATTTAATTTTATGGTTTTTATATTGATCAAGAAAATAAAAAGACAATAAAACTCGATGACTTATTTTAATGAGAAAACTGCATTACAATTCTCTCTAGTACTTATTTCTTGGTTTGCGTTCAGACCTTTTTGATGCGATTTGGAGTTACAAAAAGGCTCCCTTTGGTGTGACCACCATTGGACAAGAATCGACTAGCGATCAGTCTAGTCTACCAGGAAACAATCCAGGAGAGCTACAGCGACCGTTGGAAATGGAGCCGTTTGGATGGGAAATGGTGAGGAGATGAATGACGATGGACTAACGAGACCAGATTGCTCGACCAACTTTGCTTGATGAACAATCTTGTCAAGCTAGAATGGTGGTGGATCAACTCCAAATTAAGAATAGACCAAATTTTGAAACACTGAGGATGATAACATAACAATAACACAACCATATGCCACGATGTTGTGTCTTTGGTTTTTGTCTTCTCTTTTGTTTTATAATTAATATCTAAACTTTTATTAAATGCTTTTGTTACGTTATACGTAGTGCTGATTAAGATATTAATAATAATCGACGTGGGTTTCAGGACAAATGTCATCGGATAGAAGTTCTTTGCGGAACGGTGAAGGGATAAAAGGAGGACGAGTACACATGAGCAAAGCCCAATTAACTCCCTGGAAAAACGGATGACGTTTCACGGCCGATGCACCCAGAGACGACCCCAAGCGTCGGGTCGGGTCCTTCGCCAGTAGCTGAGAGATCAGATCCTTGGCTGCGTTTGGAATCGTTGGCTCTTTTGGGAATTCAAGGGCTCGAGCCACGATGTTAGCAAGTGTTAGCTCGTGGTCCATCCCTTTGAACGGCGTCGTTCCATAGAACAGCTCGTACATGAATATCCCCAACGTCCACCAGTCCACCTCACTCCCATGCCCTTCTCCTGCCATCCACACATGTTACACATATTACATTCCTAAACGGAAAAAAAGTGGACCGGATCATAATGAGCTAAGATTAAAGTGTACCTGATACAATCTCAGGAGCCAAGTACTCATGCGTTCCAACGAACGACATGGACCGGACGTCCACAGGCTCAGCCACAAGCTCAGGACCATTGTTTCGGTTATCAGTCTTCTTCTTACGTCTTCGGATTCTCGGGTGAAAGCACGAGACAGCAGGGACGATACAGTTTGTAATCATGCAAGACGACGACGATGTGGTCTGGTGATGGTCCATGGCTTGGTTATCATTCTTGTCAGACGAGCCGTTTGGAGGTTGATTCCGGTTCAGCAAGATCTGTGGTGTGGAGGTGGATTCATCACATTTTAAGGAGAGATCAAAATCAGTTAGCATGATGTGACCGTCTGATCGAACCAGCACGTTCTCAGGTTTCAAGTCACGGTAAACAATCCCCATCATGTGAAGATATTCAATGGCTACTATCACTTCCGATGCATAGAACCTAGAAAATACAAGAGATGATTATTAGTAATGTGAAAGTAAATTGATACAAGGACAGGAGAATAAAACAGGGTAGTGACGACAGCTCGAATAATTGAAGTTGCAATAATTGGAACCTTTGGTTAGTTTGGGGGACAAGAAGATAATGTTGGGTTTGATTTTCACTATGCATAAGGAACAATAATGGACCTACAAGATTGTTAGCTTAACGAACTCTTTTGTCTAAGAGAGTTTCTGGTGCAAATACATTACCCAGGATTCCTAGTTTGTCTTCAAGGGTCCACAATCAACAAACATACTCCACACATAACAGAGAAGTAAATAGTCTGTTTTGGTTCTTAAGAACAGTTTCACACATAAGATAAACCCATTTTCAGTGGAACCAGTTTGTGAATGTAAATTCAGCAAACTAAAGAGAAATGAGACCTGGGGTTATTTTGTAGGCCGACCTTAAAATAACATAATTAATCCTTACAATCATGATAAAATAGCCAATTGTAGACATGACGACCTATAATGTTTTTTTTTTGTTTCTCGATCATTTAACATTTAACACTAAGGAAGAAACCTAGTAGAACTCAATATTACGTAGTCAGAGACTAGCGTACAAGGTTAAAAAAAGCTAATCTTTTTTTTTTAAAGCGAATCATTAATCCTGTATAATTAGAAATTGGTTGTAACTAAAACACACATTCAAGTCACAAGAGTTATAAGAAAATGCTTCAAGTGACCATGACCTTTCTTTAACGTGTAACCTACTACTTGTCTTCTGACATTAACACAAGAACAAAAAAAGGTTCAGATCTATCGTCGTGTACCACGAACGACGAGATCCGGTTTTCTAGTATATCACGTGGTAAGAATTGCCCTTAAATGGCTACAACAACCCGGCTATAAAACTTTTCTATCAAGCAAGAAAAACTTATATCATCAAGTATTGAAACACCAAAATTAACACAAATATGTTTTTTATACAAAATCATGATAACTAAAGAATTAAAAAAAAATGGTTGTAATAACAAAGAACCTGATAATTAGGACATCCCAATGGTTTTTTTTTTGTTAAAGGTTTATTTTATATTTTTCCTCATAATGAGATAAACTTAAAACAAATTGAGTTTTGCCCCCAATGATTTCTCTCATTTTCTCCTAAAATTTTCCAAATATATTTTATTATTATATTTGTTAAAACTTTATAATATATTTAAGTTTAGCTTCTATTAGAATATACAATAATTTATGTGAACTTATAATTGTACCAGTGAAAGTATTAATTATATCATTAAAATATAAACATAATTTTTTAGATTTAAAACAAAACCATACACAAACTTAAAGATCAATTTGTAAAAAAAAAGTTAAAAAGGTAAAATGAGGTTTTTATCAAAAGAAAAAGTAAAATGAGGTTGCAAATAAATTCCCTTAAATTTGAAGAACTACTATTTTATCTAAAAAGATGTGTTATAGAAAATATTATTTTAGTTTTTTATGGTTTTCTCAAAATGAGATGCACCATGGTCTTAGCTGGTATTATCTTATACCAAGCCACATGCGTAGTAAGAAAAATATTCATATTCTTCTTACTTGGCATGACATGCTACGTGATTCAATTGAATCGCGCGGCCCCACTACAAAACTGTACGTGTTCCTGTCTGATTCGTTAAAAACTTAAAGTCAGCCCCATTCGTTTTGAATCTTAAAAAAAAAATCGGCCGCACCGGATAGGAAGTACTTTTTTTTTGAGATCGGAAGTACTTAATTGCGCCCTACGATAGACGCACACACACACACTTTGTTTATCGTGCGTATACATGGACACTCTAAAGTTTCCTTAAATTAAATAAACCGACAAAAAAAAGATATTAAATTAAATAGACTTTCTCCTCCTTTTTGTGTGGCTTAAATAGACTTAACATAAAAATATATTTAAAAAAAAACATTTATCGAACACATCAATCAATAAACAAATCTAAAAACATTTTTGTTCATTAACAATGTTAATTACCCGAACATATCGGACGAAATTACGGAAGCCAAAACTCGGGTTTGTCCTTAATTATGCAATTATCACTGTAAAGTAAGACTATAAATTCTAATTAAACATTGCAATAATCGTGAGATTATGGTCCAGGGGAAGCACAAAAGCCATAAATTCAGTTTATGTTTTAAGTGTTCTGACTATGAGACAAATAATAGCCAGCTACACTAGCGGTCCCACTACTCTGTGATTTCATCACCTTTCCTTTCTCACTTTTATTACTCCAAAAAGATTTAAATATTTTTGGAAACTAAATATATTCAAATAATAAAATAAAATAAAAAAGTAAAAACTTTTAACGGCGGTTAATTACCTGACGGCGGATTCATGAAACCGTTTGCAAGCCTGTCTCTGACGGAGAACATGTAAATCCCCACCGGGACAAAACTCCGTCAACAAACACAGCCATTTCGGAGAATCCACGGCGGCGTAGAGCGTCGGGAGAAAAGGATGGTCAAGCGACTCGAGAATCTCTCTCTCCGTCTTGGCTCTCCCTTCTTTGCTCCTGCTCGCGAGCTCCTTCTTGTCCATCACCTTCGCGGCCAGAAGAGGCAACTTATCGGCGGCCGTTGCGGATTTAAACTCGGCCAAGAAGACGGAACCGATGTCTCCGGCGCCGAGACGGAGGCGAAACCGGAGATCCGAGAGGGAGAGGGATGATCTGAGTGAAGGAGGGAGTTTGGCGGAGGAGAAGGAGGTGGCTGGAGTGAGGGCTGTGGCGGAGGAGGATGAGCGGGAACCGGAGCTGGTGCTTCGGTTCACGGTGGTTCCGGCGGAGGTGAAGCTCACGCTTTGTAAGTCGTCTGCTAAATCGTCAAGCCATGGCTCCATTGAGAGAGAGAGAGGAAGAGAACTTGAAGAGGTTTTTTTTTTTTGTTAAGAGAATTTGAAGAGGTTAGCTGTGAGGTTTTGCCTTTTTGAATCATTATAGGATACTACAAAAAAGAGATGTATGTTTATGGCAATGGCAAATGCTGTAATTTATGGGTTAGATATGCTGTTTTTCGTAATTAAATTCGTTTTCGAGAGAAAAGTAAATGTTTTGAGGAAAAAAAATGTTTCAATAGATTTTTAGGTTTTAATATATGCATGTTTAATAAGTTAAAAATAAATTGTTAAATTTAAGGAATTGTTTTCACACATAGATTAAGATATTTATAACTTATACATTTTCTAATACGTGTAAAGGATGTTAAAGAATCTATCATTGTGAAATGGAAAGAGTATATACTGTATATTTTAAGCAAATTCTGATAGTTTGTACAGTAAATTTTATTTATTAATGGAACTAGGTGATATTCCCGTGCTCATGCACGGACATAAATATTTATAAAATAAAAACTAATTTATCTAATTTACATTAATAGTATTATATTACTTTAATTATACATATGATTTTAGATATGTTATATTTAGTCGATTTTTTTTGTTTTTATAGTCGATTTAACATTACATATTGGACTCCATCTATTTCTCTGAATTCAACTATAAAATTTTATTTTTTAAAATATATTAAGTTGTTTGTTGTCTTAAAAATATTTCAATAATAATAATAATTATTATTATTTTTCTGTTAATTACACATATATCAGTTTATGTTACTTAATTATTTTATGTAACTAAGAAAATAGATAGATATATAAATACAAATTTTATTACTTTGAAAATATATATATTTTATTTTTTAGAATTATTTTTGTAAAGAAAAAATATTTCTGTTTCTAATATCATGAAGATTATATGTGTGAAATGTTTTTTTTTTGTGAAATCACATTATCTACAATTTTTTTTATCTAAGACGATATAGATTTAAGGAAAGTATTTTATTACTTCAAATTATATTTTATGTTATTTAAAATATATTTAAATTAAATATTACTATTTTGTTAACTTTCCATTTTTATGAAACCATATTTATATATACTTATATTTTCGTTTTTAAATAGTTTTGTAAACTTTATACATGTTTCCTTTTTATTTTATATTGTTATTTGGGAAAAAAATTATAAGGAAATAATAATATTTAAATGCATATTTTAATTCATTAGGGACATCATAGTAATCAACCAGCGTGAGAGTTAACGTGAGCGCGACACATAGGAAAGTGACTTCTCAAATAATATTATAAACTTTATACATGTTTCCTTTTTATTTTATATTGTTATTTGGAAAAAAATTATAAGGAAATAATAATATTTAAATGCATATTTTAATTCATTAGAGACATCATAGTAATCAACCAGCGTGAGAGTTAACGTGAGCGCGACACATAGGAAAGTGACTTCTCAAATAATATTATAGAGATAACTTAACAATAATTACTAAATGATTTCGGGGAGGATTTGGTGCTCCATGATTTAAGAATTAAGATATTTCTTCTGTATGTTTCAAAAGACAGAAACAAAGAGACATTATAATCTAGGCCCCTACAGAAAAAGATAGTTGCAAATATACTTTTGTGTTTGTGTTTATTTCACTTGTGAAGTTGTAATTCGTAACTACAATATTTTATTCGTATGATAAAAAGATAGACTTTTACTATCTTTTGAACATATTGCCAAGGACCAGCCAGTGTACAGTTTGTGAAACTTTATATCGTTTAAATGAATCTCCGTAGCATATTTAAAAGTGCCGTCGGTAGCATGTATTTAGTACTGATTTAATTTAAAAGTGATGGATGCAGTTTACAGGTAACACGCAAAATTGTGACTTTTAATGCGCAAAACCATGACGATGTTTGGAAACTGGTGTCTAAAGAACAATAAGGCTACAGCATACTCATGCAGTTGAAGTAAAATGAGAAGCTAATATAAACTGTATTTTTTTTTTTTTTTTGTCACTGGGTAATATAAACTGTATTAGACACGAAATAGTAATCAAACCTTCATAAACAAAAGAGGAAATGACGGAAGAAATCATCACTGGTTTTTGGTTCCCAGATAAATAAAATTTTCTACAAGTCGTTAGATGATGTTTGTTTTCATTACAATTCTCTCATAACTAAACAGAAAAAACAAAACCTGTTCTCATTACAATTGTTCTAAGAATTACATATTTTAGGAGGCATCGTTATCGTTGTCCCCATCGAAATATTCATCGTCCCTTTGAATCTGCTTATCCCGTGAACGCTCTGAAACAAATCAAAATCATTTGCTTAAGTTTAAATAAATTTTTGAAAAATAATAAAAACACTTTGAGACGCTTTTTCAGTGAGATACTTACGGTCAACACGCACATCAGGGTTTTGTTCATCCTCATCAAAATCCGGTATGTAAAAATCCGGTGGAACCTGCCAAACAAAACAGTGATCAGTGTTGTGTTCAATCAATTTTGATGATGATGATCTGATTTTTTTACCTCCTGCATCTGCACATTTGGAGCGTGTTGGATGTACCGCAAATTATCCAAAATCTGTGCTTTTATCGAACTTATATACGATTTCGTATTTAGATTCTCCTGTCATTTCAAGAAAAAAACACAAATGAAGAAGTAAAAACGTATACACATTCTTAAAATTATACTATAAGAAGAGAAGCTCCTTACAATGTGACCACCAGGAATCTTCAATGAAAAATCCGGTGCAAAATACTTTATGTAATCATTATCAGGAATCTCTGCCAATTAAAAAAACAATTAAACCCTCAACCAAAAACATATTATATAGCATTTCTGTAAACTAAAATACCATTGGGAAGTTCAGTGTCCAGAAGAATGCCAGTTTCAACGGTCCAACACCGAGCTACATTCTCTTTTGTATATCCTCCACCTCCTGTTACCTAAAACCAAACTAACTTCATCCTAAAAGAAGCTTGAATATTTTATTTATTTATATAAATGTAGATAGATTTTACCAGCAAGGGAATATTGAATTTCTTCACAAATTTAACACATTCAGCATGTCCTGCACAAACAGAAACACAAAGAAAAGAGAGAGATTAAAGCATATTGAATCGGTTAGAAGATCGAGATAGAGAAAGAAAAAAAGCAAACCATCAATAGAGAGATTAAAGCATCCTAGGCGATCTCTTGCTAGTGAATCTGCACCACACTGAAGAACTATTGCGCCTGGTTGATACATCTCCACAACTTTGGATATTATCTAACACGAGATCAAAGAGAGAAAGATCAACTGATGAAAGCATTATTATAAGAGGATTTTTGATTGGGTTGTTAAAGAACTTACTGCCCTGAAGAGACGGTTGAAACTAATGTCATCAATACCATCCCTGAGTGGCACGTTTATGGCGTAAAACTTCCCTTCTCTTTCCCCTATTTCCTTTTTATTTGAAAAACAATTGACATTAACAAGCTAACACATCAAAAAAAAACATTCCTCATCAAAAAATTCTAAGAAATTACCTTAACATCGCCTGTCCCTGGAAAGAACTTATCCCCAAACTTGTGAAAGCTAACAGTCATCACTCTGCCATACCACAATAATATTAGCAAAAAAAAAACAAAACAAAACAAAAAATCACAATGAATGACTATAAAAGAGTGAGTACCTGTCAGTAAAGTAAAAAGCTTCTTCGACACCATCACCATGATGGACATCTATATCAATGTATAGCACACGGGGATGGTGTTTCAGTAGCTCGAGGATACCTAGTACGAGATCGTTGATGTAACAAAAACCAGATGCATCACATTTTTTGGCATGGTGCAATCCACCCGCCCAGTTTATAGCAATGTCACAGAGTTTGTTGTTTAATCTCCGAGCAGCATCTAATAGTACCAGAAAAGTTTTGGTTAGAAAGCTCTAGATTGAGAAAACAAACATATACACTGAGCGTTTTTTGTTACCTATGGTTGCACCGGCATAAATTTGACAAAACTCAAACATATCTTCAAAGACAGGACAATCCTCTCCTAAGTTATCTGCAACAGAAAAGTAAATTCCATTTCAGCTATCTTTGCAAAAAGTGAAGAGGCAGCCAAAAGAACTTACATCTAGCCATATCATTGGGAAACAAATCCTTGTTTTCGGGGTTGATTCGTTGGAGGAACTCTACATAGTCGGGAGAATGGAACTGGGCCATCTCAATAGGATATGCCTTGTGTGGACGCTGAGACAAACAATATGAAGAAGAAGAAGTTCAAACAAAAAGGAATAAAAGAAGCATGAAAGATGAGAAAGAGAGAGACTGACATAAACTTCCATCTTGCTATGAAGGCCATATGCAAGGATAAGATGATGTGTCATACAAAGCCTGTGAGGTTTCATTGGGTGATTCGGACCAAAATAAACGTTTCCCACATCTCCTGCCAAAGCAAAAAGAAACAATACATTCATCACATATCCATATATAAACTGCCACAACAAAAACCAAAAATTATACCAAGATTCACATCATACAGAACATGTATATCAAGTCTTGTAACAAATTCTCAGCTCAAAAGCAGACAAATTTTAAATAAAGTATGTGCTCTGATTACACGAAGAATACAGCTAAAAGTTGACAATCTGAAACAAATTAAAAAAAAATAGAGTAAATTTCACAGATAACAGAGTTGTAAAAGCATCAGGTTTGAGCTCAAACAACAAACAATCAATCTAAAACCACATAAAAACTTGTTCTTCTAATCAAAAACCCTAAACCCTAAACTGAACAAACTAATCGTAACCCTTGACGTAATCTTGAAATTCGGATGTGAAAGACTCCACCTTTAGTAAGTGGGTTTCAAGTAGATATAAGGCTGATACTAAAGACATCAATCAATCAATCTCAAGATCTCTTCTTCCGAATAAAATAACTCATAAAAGAAAAAAAAAGGCAGAGAAGAATATACTTACCATCATAAAAGTATGAGATTTTGTCCTTTGACCGCATCTCTTAGCTGCAATCAGACGATTTCTCAACGAGAGGAGACGAGAATCGAAGCGCTAAAGAACGAGAGCAGCAGAGCCAAATCCAAAACGGCAGCGTTTTGGGTTGTAATGACATGATGGCGACTTATCGATTTTTTTAAAAAAAAACCAGACCCGGTTTAGGTTTCCATCCTTTTAACCGGATCGAATTCAAATAATTTAGAAAACAGTTTTTTTTTTTGTCAGCCGCCTATCTAACATAATTATTTTTACCAGATCTGATATATATGGAAAAATGTAAATCTTCTGGTCCTTACCTTTTTTACTAATGCGTCCGTTTAACCATTCATACTCCAGGGAATATGAGATAGACCCACGTCCGCGAACTCCTATTGTAATCTCTGAAACACTTCCATCTTGGTCTTGAAGATCTACCAATCCTTGAAATTTGTAATCATTTCTATTAGGTCCGAACCGTCCGTTTCAAACCGTATCGAAGTTATCATTATGTTTCTTATACATAAAACTATCCAAAATAAACATTTCATCTCAGCATGCAAAGCTGAGAGGTTTCTTTTGTACGCTCTCAATCCAAAGATTTCCGAACTCATTTGTTCTTTAAGATTTCATCTTGAGCTACTAACATTGTCATTATCGATTCATAACGCATCAATTTGGTAGATAGGGATTCGGTGGGTCTAGAGAAGCATTGTCTCAGTCTCTATAAGCGTGGGTCTAGTAACTTCTTCTTCATAGTAATGTATTTGAGCCGTTTATAGCCCAGCCCATATAGAAATGCGCAATCTAAGGATAACAGAAACGGAAGATGAGATTAATGCGCAAATGGTGGAAAAGAATGGATCATGCGACCAACAAACAAAGCATTCTTGCGGTCATTAATACTTCTTTACTTCTTCCTTTTTGTTTTAATCTCAGTGTCTTAATCCTAATTGATTGGTTTGCGATCAAATAAACAGAACAAAGTAAAACTAAAGAACTTAATTGATTCACAATCTTGTCACGCCTAACTACTTTTGTCATTTCTGAACTCGGAAACGTCTTCATCAAGCCTTTTTCTCTTTTAACAATACTTCTACTTCACGCTAGCTAGGGTTATCATTTTTTTTTACCTTCATGTGTTTGCTTCCCTTGTTTGAAATAATCGTATAATCATATGATATAACTGTGTTGTTTAACCAAGTCGCCTTGGTCTAGTGGTAAATGAACTCCAGCTGGAGTTTCCTCCCTAGGTTCGAATAGCATTGGTCACCCATGGACGTCTTAAGTGGTAAGAAAGCCTGAATTTCTATGGACCTCGTGGTAATTAGTCTTTAGGCCTAGAAAACATTTGGGATCCCCCACGATTAACAAAAAAAAAAAAAAATTGTACTGTTAGAATATTGTTTGAACTCATAACCATATGACATAAGTTTGTAGTTTAGAATAAATTATGTAAATAGATAAAGATATTACTTTTCACAAATCTGTGACGTTTGATTTAACCTGATATTATTAATATGATGGACAAATAAGTGAATTAATATAGTTTTTTTAAAATAACTTTTCATATATATTAATGGACAAATCTCTTAAATAGACATTTTTAAGTTTTTATTACAAAATCAAAATTAAATGACCAAAATAGCATTTTGTATTTTGGAAATTTTAAGTTTTATTTTTTTAAATTTGCAATCATATCCCTACAATTTATCTTCTCAGTTTAAAACCAAAATATCTAAAATTCGATAACCTAAAGGATATAAATGTATATTTACTTATTTTATATAAAATATTTTAATATATTTTTATTATTTTTATTTTAAAATTTATATTTATATTTATATTAAAAACGTTTTTAGGTCTATCGTAAAGAATTTTTCTATATTAAACTCCCAAAATGTGTAGATCGGAAAATCACAACTCAGGGTCCGAGTAACGACAATGGAAAATATATTAGGCTAATGATATTAACGTAATAAAAACAATCTCTCAACGCCGGCTCAATCTGGGTATAGTAATGATATGAATGTAATAGTATCTCTCAGTCCGGTATATGATTCTGTTTTTTGATGTAGAAAAAAAAAGTATCTCTCAAGTTAATTTGTATGTTTTTCCCAGGAAAGTTCATGTGTATATTTTTAGTTCGTACGACCCAAATACGTTCAAGAAGATTATACAAATCTTTTGTGATTAGTGACAATTATTCGGTCCGCCAGTTAGAAAATGTTAAAAAGCAATCTCGAAAGCTTTTATTGTGCCGCCCGTAATCATTTGAATTCCATAGGATCCAACGTCCACTATTTTGTTCTTCCTTTTTCTCTCTTTTTGGTTTGTTAAAATTACAAGTTCACTGATTTATTTTGGTCACAAATAAATGAAATAATTACTTATCTTTTTATAAATAGTCTCACCTAACACAATATCATAGACATAACTTATCTCAAAACTCATTGTAATATTATATAGCAATACGATGATGGAAGCGGAAAAAAAGAATACAGTTTACAATGTAATATAAAATTGTTTTAGAGCATACCACGCAACTTAGTGAGGTATTTTTTACAAAAAAAAAAAAACTTAGTGAGGTATCAGGTGGGCTCAAATACGACCAGAATTTTCATTAGCTGACTTCCATAACTCCACGCCACGTGTCGTATTTGATATTTAAATGGTCAACCATCCCATATTACTGCATCACTAAGCAAAACAAATGATTTTACTTAAATATATACCTATAGTTTTTTTGGTAAAAGTATATACCTATAGTTGGTATCATATATTTTAGTATATTTTAAGTACTCGTATTTACTCAATGAAAAAATAGAGTAAAAATGTATACTAATTAAACGTATTATCTATTTTTATATTCATATCTTATTTCATGGGTTTTGTAATTGTTAACAGTATAATATATATATAGTCGTAAGAAAACAAGTTAATGGATTATGTAATTATATAATTTTCTGTAACACTACGATTATAAGATTTCATGTAACAAATTAAAAGTATAGTTATGTCTATCTTAATTAATCAAATGAAAAGTTGTATTCTTGTGAAAATCGAATCATATAAAATAATTACATTTTGGTCAAATAGATTAAATACATTCGGATAAACATAATAAATAATCAAATAAGCTTGACGTTACAAATAAATATAATAAATAAACAAATCAACATTAGACCAAAATAATAATAAATAAACAAAAGACAGTGAACCAACACTTGATTTTCTCTACACACGTCTCTCTTTCTCCATCTTCTTCTTCTACCCGTTATAAGAGGAAAACAAAAGTGCAAAAGGCACAAATTAACTCTTGATTTTTCTCTAGAAAAATCCATTCTCTCTCAAGACTTTTTTTCTCTAATTTTCCCTCTCTGGTGTGTCTCAATGTCTCATCTTAGAAGGTTTTTTTTTTCTGTCAGAAAGGGCATCTCATCTTAGAAGTTACGACATCAAAAAGCTCATCATCTCCTTTTCTTTGTAAGTTCGTCTAAGTTCGAATCGTGTGATCGATGAACAACATCGTCCGAGGATTAACTTGTCCCTTCATGTGCTGCATTTTCTAATTCAGGTTCTTAAAATGTTCTCCAATTCTACTTCTAAAGCTAATTACAATTTTCCTTAGCTTTGTAACATATATCTTTTAATCCTTCAAGTTTCAGTTCTGCTTATTGGAGATACTCAATTGATATGCAAATTGTTTCCTTTTTGAAGTATTATACTATTATTAGTTAGCCAGATTAGATAAATATATAGATCTATCACTTCTTCTATAGATTTTATTTTTCATACGTTTAATTATTTGTTATAATTACAGTGTGGTCCTTTTGCAAAATGTTTGTCTACAGAAGTTATACAAAATCTTTTTAATGTTTCTGTCAAAAAAAAACTATTGTGCGAAATGCGAGAATTGATTCAAGAAGCATTTCATTTACTTATTTATTTACTCAATTTAATAAATGCGTATATTTTAAAAATTAATACTCAGAATACTATCTTTGAGAGGACTTCATTATTAAAGAAGAAAGAAAACAAAATGCCACAAGAATTAGTGAGAGGATTAAAGGGTTTGGTGTCCACAAGCAATGGAGATTATGAGCTTGCTCAACGAAAAGCTGAAGAAACAGGTCTGTCTCATCATAGTTTTTTTCCTTTTTTTTATATAAACTATTTTCATCATGAATAGAAGATAAATAAGTTAAAGCAAAGAAAAATAAAAGTTGCGTATGGACCATGCATAATTATCTTTAAGATTCAAAAAATTACGTTGGGTTTGAATTAGAGAAAGTCGTTTAGAAAATGCTTTATGAATGGCTTTCATGAGAGGGTTACCCACCACAAACTTTTAATTATTACTTTATATGTTTGGTAGATATACATATACGTAATGCAATACGTTACAACTAATCACAATGTATATATTATTCTGGTCATACATTTCAATCTCTTTTTTTATAATTTTCCAAATCATAATTATTGGAGTTCTATTTTGTTTAGTTTCTTTCTTTGTCAACTCTACAAATATCTATTCTGACTCATATATTTTCCAATTTATTTCCCGCGTTAAGTTTCCGTTAGAAAACATTTATAAAACCTTTTGTTCCATTTTTTAGTTTTCGAAAGAATAAGAATACTAAAAATGTATTTGGGTATCTTGAATTGTCACAATACAAAAGCTAAGAGAAGGTACCAAGCTGTGGAATGGCTGAGACAGATGGACCAAGGCGCGGCGGCCACACTGCCGGAAAAACCGTCGGAGGAAGAGTTCTGCCTCTCCCTCCGCAATGGACTCATTCTCTGCAACGTCCTCAACAAAGTTAACCCCGGTTCGGTTCTTAAGGTCCAATTTCTACTCTTACTAATCTCATCTAACCAACGTCATTTACATTTGAGAACTATTTATAGTAATGACTAGTAAACCGGTTTAATCCAATAGCTATCTTCAACACATTCAGTTTCTAACTTCATTGTTGAGCTTATACAGGTGGTGGAGAATCCTGTCACATTAGCGATTCAATATGCTGAAGGAGCAGCTCAATCCGCAATTCAATATTTTGAGAACATGAGGAACTTTCTTAAAGCTGTAGAGGATATGCAGCTTTTGACATTTGGAGCTACTGATCTTGAAAAGGTTTTTGTTACTTTAGTTTTTCTTTTGAGACTGGTCCCTTTTGTAACATGTTTTAATGTTGTTTTTCTTCTTTATTTTTTTATTGCAGGGAGGTTCATCGAACAAAGTAGTAGATTGCATTTTGTGTTTGAAAGGGTTTTACGAGTGGAAACAAGCAGGTGGAGTTGGAGTGTGGAGGTATGGAGGGACTGTGAGGATAGTCTCATTATCACATCCAAAACACTCTTCTACGAGTTTGTCTCTTGGTAGCGAAAGCAACACTGATGAGTCAGTGTCTTTGGACGAATCTGATCAGTCTTCTCAGTATGACCAGCTTCTTGATTTTCTTCACCTCTCTAATGAGATTGCAACTGAGGAATCTGAAACCTCAGTCTCCCTGGCCTTTCTTTTTGATCATTTTGCGCTTCAGCTACTAAATGCTTACCTCAAGGAGAGTGATGGGATCAATGATATACCTTTAAATGAAATGGTAGTTAATTATCAAAAAATTAAAAAGGATGAATTTTCTTTCAAATTCTTAGATTTTTTTGTTCCCTATTATAGGTGATTGATACCTTGCTCAACAAGGTAGTCAAGGATTTCTCTGCGATACTTGTTTCTCAAGGGACTCAGGTACTCTACTTACTCTGCATTTTTTTTTTGAATGTTGACACATTTATATAGTGTTCATTCATAGCTAGTTTCTGGCATTTTTTGTTTACTTTGTAGCTGGGTTCGTTTCTAAGGAAGATACTGAAGTGTGACAACGGAAATCTATCAAGGTCAGAGTTTTTAGAAGCAGTCTTTAAATATCTTGGGCACAGAAAAGATATGGTGTCAAAGGAGTTTTCAAAGTTTTGTAAATGTGGTGGGAAGCTTGAGATTATTGGATCAAGCGTCCATGAGTTTTCTCCTAGTCATGCAAAAGCTATTGACCTTCAACAGAAAGAGCTGGAGGTAAATGAATCTTCCTAGTCATGCAATATCTTATTTGTATTCATTTCTTCATTGCACTCATGTAGGAAGTAAAATCAAATTACATGGGAACAAAATGTCAAGTTAAGCAAATGCAGTCAGAATGGCATGAAGAGCTTCAAAGGATAGGTAATCTGTTTACTCATCTTCTCAGTAATTTATCACCACGTAGTAAATTAATCTCCATCACATCCTCTATGGCAGTCCATCACGTTAAGACCATGGAAGTTGCATCTTCTTCTTACCACAAGGTTCTGGAGGAAAACCGTTTACTTTACAATGAGGTCCAAGATCTTAAAGGTACCTATTACATTCCTTGCCGCATTTTGATTTATCTTACTACTTTCTAGTGTGTTGAGTTGTGTTACCGCTGTAAAAAATATAGGCACCATAAGAGTCTACTGCAGAGTCAGGCCTTTCTTACAAGGAACAAAAGATATGCAATCAACCGTTGATTATATTGGAGAAAATGGCAATATTATGATTGCCAATCCTTTTAAGCAGACAAGGAAAATATTTGCCTTCAACAAAGTATTTGGACAGAACATCTCACAAGGTATGCATGCTACTTGGCATGATTGTTTCTTGTCTATTGTCTATCATAATACTAATCAATTGTTTTTTTTTGCCCCTTAACAGAGCAAATATACATGGATACTCAACCGGTAATAAGATCTGTCCTTGATGGATTCAATGTTTGCATATTCGCGTATGGACAAACTGGTTCAGGGAAAACATATACAATGGTATGATCCCATTTCTATTTGCTTGCAGTGTGACTATTGATACGTTGTTAATGTCTGTATCTATCTTCCCTTGCAGAGTGGGCCAGATCTGATGACTGAGACAACGTGGGGCGTGAACTACAGAGCTCTACGTGATCTCTTCCAGCTTTCAGATGCAAGAACACATGTGGTGTCATATGAAATTGGAGTACAGATGATTGAAATATACAATGAACAAGTTAGAGATCTACTAGTCAGTGATGGTTCTTCCAGAAGATATCCTTTTATATAGTTTAGTTCTATTAAATTGTCTACATATAATCTCTTCGAGTTTTTTTTTTCTTTATTTTTCTTGACCAGTTTCTCACGTTAGACATACGCAACAATTCTCAACTCAATGGGCTAAATGTACCTGACGCAAGCCTGGTTCCAGTTTCTAGTACTAGAGATGTTGTTGATTTGATGAAGATTGGCCAAAAGAATCGTGCAGTGGGAGCCACTGCTCTAAATGAGAGAAGCAGCCGTTCTCACAGGTTTGATATCAATCCAGCTCAAAAACTTTTTCCTACATATGATCATGTAATGGTCGTTGAACTGCTGTATAATTATATTAATTCATAATGCAGTGTCTTGACCGTTCACGTCCAAGGAAAAGAGTTAGCCACAGGAACCATTTTAAGAGGATGCCTTCATCTAGTGGATTTGGCTGGAAGTGAAAGAGTGGAGAAATCAGAAGCTGTGGGTGAGAGACTCAAAGAAGCTCAACACATAAACAAATCCTTGTCTGCACTAGGAGATGTCATTTCAGCACTTGCACAAAAGAGTTCACACGTTCCCTACAGAAACAGCAAGCTTACACAAGTTCTACAGGATTCCTTAGGTAATTAAAAAAAAAACACTAATACAAGGCTTTTTGTTTTCTATCATATCTCATTTATTATGAACATAATGTGCAGGTGGGCAAGCCAAAACTTTAATGTTTGTGCATATTAACCCTGAAGTTAACGCGGTAGGAGAGACTATAAGCACCCTTAAGTTTGCTCAAAGGGTTGCATCCATTGAACTTGGAGCAGCTAGATCCAACAAAGAAACTGGTGAAATTCGAGATCTTAAGGATGAGGTAGGTCTCTATTGCACTCTTGGTGGTAAAATTATATATATTGACGACGGCTCTTTCTTTCCACATTTGTAGATATCCAGCCTCAAATCTGCATTGGAGAAGAAGGAAGCAGAGCTTGAACAAGTGCGAGTGAGTAGCATCCGGACCACAACTGAATGTCAGAAAGCGAGAGCAGTTTCTCCTTTCCATATCCCAAGAACAAAGGTTGAAGCAAGTCCACAGCCAAATGAAAGTACGAGAAACTACGAGGTAAATATGCACAAAATTGGTTGAACAGTATCAAGTGTGTTTATTAATTTTTATAGACAAACGTAAAAATTAATAATCATTATTTGTGTTGCTTTTAAAATTAAATCCTGAAAAATAAAGAAATGAATGTAAGAACTCTCTTTTATAAAACAAAAAAAATATTGTTGTAGGAATATTTTTTTATTTTTCTCAAACTACTTTAGATACAACAACTTTAAAAATCTATAAATTCTACATTAATTAACTATAGTCCAATCAATCATCCTCTACTGTTATGGTTGGTTAAAGAGACTATGATCTAATCAGTTTGGTGAAATTTGATTTACAGACAAGAAGTTGCTCAACAGGGAAGCAGAGAAAGGCAGGGTTCACATCTGCACTAAGAAACAGAGAAGCAATCCCAAAGATGCCAAATCTAGCAGAAGAGAGGTTAGACCCAAGATCACCATCACCTACAAGTAAGAGGTCATTATCAACAGATAGAGGATCTTCCATCAAAAGTAGAAACAAGCCAGACGTTACTCAAAACCTTCCGGTTTCAAGAACACCTTTTCCAGCTAGAGTACAAGTAGCCAAATCCTTTGCAACCGTTCCACTAAACCCATCAGGAGAAAACAGGGTTCGTATAGATAACACATCAGAGTCTCATCAAAAGTTAAGCGCTAGAAAACTCTTCCCTGAGGTTGATGAGCAACATATGAGACATGCACTTAACATACGTCAAGGTGGTGTTAAGAAGACCAAAGCAGAGAGCATTAAAGCCAAAGGTAAGCAACTATCGTCAGCTAGGTTTCAGAAACTTGATGTTGGGATCAGTTTACGTTCTGAAGCTGATTCCCAAGGAAGTTGTCTGAACCAAAAGGGGAACAACAATCACAATGTGGTGCATTCAAGATTCCAAAATTTTGACGTTGGCATCAGCTTGTTCTCTGATCTCTGTGCTGGTGACAAATCAGATTCAACAACACTCAAGAGTGATTCTTCAGAGACAGACAATGAGCATCATGGACTCGTTGAACCACCTTTGAGATTGAAGAATTCACATACAAACTTCTCCCACAAACTAAGGTTTACTAATAAAAAGCTCTTTCATTAAGTATATAATCACAACAATTGTTTGACTTCATTTTTTATGTATACCACGCAGGACGATCTATGCTCACGGGGACGACAAGATTTCAAACGGTAATAGTAATATATCTATGCCTGAGTTAAGGAGAAGTCGTTCAACGAATCACGGAAGGTTTCCGTAGATATGTTCCAAGCCACTTGTCTCGTATCACACGTTATATATACCAGACACAGTTCGAAGTTGAGTTTTTTTTCTTTCTGGGCTTTGTCATGTCTGTCACAAAACATATTAATTCTACGTATGCCTGTTTGATGGTTTATTGCAATTGATAGAAGCGTAATCGAATTAAAACAATCGTTCTGTGTTTTTTTGTCACATAGGACTCATCATATACAATACATATCTAAGTAACATTAACACATACATGTGAATGCATAAAACTAAAAGATGTTAATGCTTATGGTGCTGTGTGTAAATGTAGTCCAAGTGAGCTTCCGTCATCATCCTTCTCTTCAGACATTCTTCATCTCCTTCTCCGCAATAATCCACCCCCATCAATTTCTATCATCAATTATATTATCAGAAATAAAATTACACGGATTAAAATAAAATAAAAATTAAACTGATTAATAGTAATTATTATTATTATTATTATTATTATTATTTTGTAAATGATTAATAATAATTATTCCAGGCTGCATATAATCTAAAAATTATTTTAAATTATGATGAATAACTCCAGTATTTTTGCAGATATCAGATCTTGTTTATTGCAACTAGGAGAAAATAATACACCATAGAATTTCTCATTTATATTTTTTCTTTTATGAAGCATCAAAAATAAAAGAAAATTAAACCACAGACAGATACTAAATATAAATTTCATTTTTTGAAGTCCTAATTTTGATTTAGGAACGTAAAAGTTTAACACAGGCAAAATTTTTTACACAGGCTTACACCAAAAAAAAGTTTACACAGGCAATATTTTTTAATCGGTAAGAAAATGAAAATAGGTGAGGCGGGGAGGAATTAGATGAACTTACATCAACCGAGTCGTCTTCTACTGGTATATCTGGAACTAATGGATTCAGCTCTGAATCATCTTTTCCTAATTAAAAGATCAAGATTTAGCGTGTAATGAAGATTATATATCTACTATTTGATAATCAGTGTGTTCAACAAACCTCTTTGAGTTATTGACGAACTTGTGGAAGAAATTAGTAAGATGATGAAGAGAACACACACTGTGAGGCACAAGGTTTGCTTCATGTTTTTGGCTGTGAAGAGAGAGACAGTGAGAGAAGAAGAAGAAGAAGTAAGAGTGAGGAGCTTTGTGAATTGTGATAGGTATTTACTGAATATAAATACAGAATCCATTTTTCAAAATCATATTCTATAAGAATTTCTTTTTGTTCAAATGATATACCTTGAAGTACGATGGACAATTATAAAACAGAAAGTTACTGTGTGAAGCATATGGAATGTAGAACTAAATTTTATACCATAAGTTTCATCAATTAAAGTGTATATCGACCAGCAAATGTAAAAAAGAACCAAAACGCAAAGACTATTTTTTTCAGTTATAGAAAATATTCTGTTTCGCCACCGATTTGTATAGTTACAAAATGTACCAAACTTATCCATAAAAAGAACTTAATTACCGTTGTTACAAAAAATATCGGGTTGTTATCCATAGATCACATAGTGTGAGATAATAATGTTAAAGGAAATATGATAATACTAAATAAATTTCTGAGCACAAATGAAGGGAGACAAGGAAATCTTTTGTAATACGGCGAGTGCAAAGTTCCACTAAATAATTGAGAATATGCGGTCCAACCAAAGTCCTAAAAACTAAATGATAAAGTTTTGCCTGTTTTGTCAGAGTTTCAAATCTAAGTCAACGTTTCTGACATTGTTGACAGCTGTTTCCCATCTTCCCATTCTCTTTTTATTTTCTTCTCAGATCACACATGTTCAATTATCTCATCTAATTTTGTTTTAGTGATCCACCAAAACTTGTTTTGTAGTTTTAAGCAAATAATTCTTTCTTTCTTTAGTTTTATAGTTGATTAGCCTCAATTTTCAACAACAAGATAATAATTTTTTTTTCTCATCTTATCTATCTTTTTTTTTATGATAAATGAAAGATAGATTACCTATTTACCAGAAACCCAAACATTGTAATTATCTCTTCCACCATGAAATGAATTCAAATGGTGGAAATTACAATAGCAATGTCTACCTATTATTTTCAACTTCTTTCTCATATTTCCACAATTTTAGTATGAATTCTCATGAAAAAAGACAAATCGAAAGGTATGAAATGAAACTCTGTTAATGTAAAAGGGACACCACAATGGTACTGCAAAAAGTAAACCAAGAGACAAATACTACAAGGAAACACTTATGCTTTATTAGAATTTCTTTTAAACAATCTATTACAAGATCTGCTTAATTCAGCTTTTACACGTCTAGTATTAACACCCTAACACACGCTACTGAAAGATTCCTAAGCTACACCGTTTATGTCTCTCCTCCGTCAAGTACTTCAGCCACTGCTTCAGCACGACCCAAGAACACTTCTAAGAGCTTTTATCTCTTACTATAAGATTAGTCTATGTGTCTCTGTCTCACTACAGACGCCACCATAGCTATCTTATAGTTATTCTACACGTTCCCAAAACCCTAATCTTCAAGGAACACAATATGGACATCTTCCATAACATTAAGTGCAACTTTCCTTTTCTTGGAATGCACTTATTCCTCTTTCCTTTAAGTCATAAACTTGCTCCTCGAGTTTATTCCTCTTGCCTTTTCTCCAAGATACACCCTTGCTCTCCAAGTCTACACGACTCCAGCTCAGCATCTTGACTCCACATGGTCTTCACCACTCAACACGACGTCTGCCTCAGCAACTACGTCAGCGACTACTTCAGGGCGGACATCTTACATCTTCAATCTCCCCCTTTTAGCTTTGTGTGCCAATCAAGCACAACATCCTTCTGGTTCAACAACCACGTTCGTCACTTGGAACTTTTCATACCAAATGTGCTTTTCTCCCCCACGAGATGTGCACCACACCATGCTTTTCTACCCCATGAGATAAGCAACATCTACTTCAGGACGTCCATCACCATGCTCTTCTCCCCAATGATATATGCACTCCTTGGACTAGAACGTCACCACTTCTCCCCCTGCTTGATTGCATACTAAGCTAAAACTCAGATGCTTAGATGTCAAGCCTTCCATCACAGTAATCATGATACAGCCCCTGCTGCAGCGGAATAAATTACAAGTACTGCATCACGATCTGACGCACATGTCGAACTACCTTTCGACCCACTTCTGTTGAGGACTTGGCTTCCTTCATGCGTCGTCTCCTTGACTATGAGCCCCTCCTCATCCACCCCGAGTGCTCTCTGCACTTGTTGCTATTGTCTTGGAGTGATTTCGCTATCACCCTCCTGAAGATCATCTCGCATCACTTCCTGACACACTTCGATCTCTTTCCCCTTTGAACCACAAACAACTCCGTGTCCTGGCTCCAGACTTGATGCTTCTTGATCTTCCTCAAGATCACACCTACCAGAGATGCACCCTTCTTCTGATGTTCCTTTCTTGACCTCATCAAGTAAGCCACTCTTGACTAAGAACACCTCTTCAACCCCCTTGGGTTTAGTGAACGTCCTGTTCACCTTCTTGGCCATGTTTCTGCTCTTCTCACAAGCAAAACACTCCACCTTCTTGTGTCCAACCTTCCCACAGAACCAGCAGCACATCTGATGTTGCTTCTTCTTGGGCCTGACACAGTTGCTGATGCACCGATCAGCCTTCTTCCTTGTACGAGATGCACAACCATGCTTCAGAACCTCCTGTCTGGCCTTCATGTTTCTGCATTGATGTATCACTTTCGGCTTGTTACTCACAACCACACCCTGTAGAACTTCCTGCCGTACTCGCTGCCGCATGTCCCGACGTACTTCCTGATAAGCTTCTTTAGCCCTACTTTTTGATGTGCCCCTTTGGTCAATCAACTTGAAATAGTTACGCCGAACATGTCCTTGAATTCCACAAGAATAACATATTGGACCATGAGTCCTCATATCATATACTCTCTCAATCTGATGCTTTTTCCTCAATAACCTAAAGCACTTTGGCCTAATATGTCCAATAACTCCACAATGATGACACACAGGTATGAAAGGTCGTTGAGATACATTCTTTACCTCTGAAATTTTCCTTGTAGGAGACGATGAAGCAATTCTTGATGTAGTTGCAGTCTTCACTGCAGTCTTTCTATATGAAGTATTCTTTGCATACGTCTTAACTACTGGCTTCATT